TCCTTTGAGCCAACAGGCACGCTGACTCACACGCTGTAAGAATACATCTACTTAAAGTATTCAGTCAAACACACAGGTGTGTTAATAGGTCTCTAATGCTTTTTCTTTAATGAACAGTAAGTAGACATGTTTATGTAAAAGACAAGAGTCATGTCAGGAATCTAAATCTAAATACCTTAAACAACTACACTTATTAAAATGTCTCACTCTCCATGATAAAAAAAATGCCTCTTTTGAACCCCTACCCATAATGCTTAGCGTCTATCACTATCCCCCAAGCTAAGCTAAATTAACTTTATTATGCACATGCACACCCAGATGTTCTATGTCACACATAGAAGTGCTGATAAATGTGCAGGGTCAAGCTCAAAGCGTAAAGTAAAAAAAAAATCCTGAGCCTGAACTTCTTTTTGCGTTTTTTTTAAATATATATATATATATATATATATATATATATATATATGTTGTTGCTCTATTCATGGTAAAATAATTCAATTTGATCCTCTTTACATCACATAGTTGTCAGTCCATGAAATAAGTGCTTTACTATTCACAGATGCTTTCAATCAATGTATTTCAATCCTACACATGAACAACTTAAATAAATGCTTTCTAGTTTATCATCTAAACTGTAACCATGACATCCTCCTTTCAAATTCAAATTAAAAAACACTTTTTTGCACAACATGATGGAGACATCCACTTTCATCACTGCTTTAAACCTCCATCAGCTTCACACGGAATCTCATTTAAATTCTGAGTCTCTTAAGGGCAGGTAAAGAGCTGCAGGAGAGTCATGGCATTTAGCTGCAGGGGAACTTTCCTGCATGTGATTCTACACAGAGATCTGGATAATGGTCTCACACACCCTGAGCCTCTGCCAGGGATGGTAACTGTGGAGACCAGCATATTACAAGGAACAGTGCAGAATGAAGCCACATACAGAATAATATATTGTATTGTCATGCCTGGTATTCAATTAGAGTCTGTCTAACACTGTTAGCTTTAGAGCCATTGATTGGTAGCAAACAGGTTCCCAGATATGCATAAGTATATACACAATCCACACAGCAGTTAATTAAGATGACAGTCGTAAAAGGCTTGAAAGAATAAAACTGTCACAAAGCAAACAAACGAGTGAAACAAAGTCCAAGGTTAACACGTGATGTAATCCTGATAGATCTCTGCAGAGTCTCAGTATAAAAAAAACTAATGATGTACATGCAGTGATAATCAGCTACAAGATCTATCCTCCCCTGAGAACTTGGAACAGTGAGAGTAAAACCAATGAATGTTTAATCCTGTTTTTTTGTTAACAGTCATTTTGTGTGCAGCTGCTTAGAGAGAACATTCACTGTGGGGTATCTCTTGTGCAGCACTCAGTGAACATGCAAACACGCAGATTTGAGCTGTAAATGTTCAGCTCTTCTCTGGTGGGACTTTCTCTCTAATGAGTGTGACAGCACTCCACTTAGGGGAGTGTAAGAACTGCAGGGCTTTAGAGCACAGCTCCTCTGCTGCACCAGTTTCTGTCTGAAAGCACATCCTATCATTACACTCTTACAACACACCACTGGCAGTTCCACAAATCACCCTGTTTGTTTTGATGTGTAAATATTGAAATATTTGTTCAGACAGGGATACTGAGCTCACTATAAAAAAAGGTCTTGTAAAATATAGCGGGCCCCATGCAGGGAGGCTAGTCCTCCAGGCAGGCGGCCCGGTTTGGATCCAACCTGTGGCTCATTTCGCGCATGTCATTTCCTACTCTCTCTCTCTCTCTCTGACTTCTGACTCCATTCTTCACTGGCTTCCTGACCTTAATATGGAAGCCTTAAAGGGACATTCATCCCTACAATTAATCTACCTGTTTTTTCCTTTAGATCTGAACATATCTATCTTGTTATCTCGGGAAAACAATGCATGGTTTCCCATGACAACGAATTAAGTTGTCCAGTTGTCAAGAAAACCAGTGAAAATAAAATGTAATGTGCGGATGCATGTCCTGTTAGGGTGTATAACCTTATATAATTTGCAGAAATCATTCCATCAATCGTTCTTCTTCATGCTGCTTTTTCCATAACTGTATACTATTGAGAAAAAAGTTTGTCGCCATATTGCCTTAAAATGCACAGTTTGTTAATTCCGCCGCCAGGGGGCTCTCAATCAAAACAATAACAAAAGATGACGTTGAGGTGGGATGACATGCACCACAAGGCCTTGGTTTGAATCGAATCAGCATGGACTGCTGAAGCGAGGACTAAAGCCTTGATACTACCTGCTCCACCAGGCAAGCTCACATGGAGCCCAAATACTTCACTACAGCACACAGAGTAAGCACGCTGAAAAATACAAAGTTTGACAGTTATGCTGATTTAAGCTTGCCTACCTATGATGTGGAAATTATTGTTTTGAAGGAGGATTAAGTGAAAGCTAATCCATTGCAAACATTTTTAAATCCCATTTGCTCATAAATGTTACAGATTTGTAACAAACACCTGTGACTGTATCTTGTTGTAATACCCTCTTATGATGTTTAAAATGCAGAAACTACAAATACCAAAACAATCCTAATGAGCTGCACTAACATACCAGCACCTGTGTCATGTTCTTATTTTTGTTTTTTTGCCCTGTGCATGAGTTTATGGAATAAATATGCACAGTGTAGAAATATCCTCTCAGTTCTTCTCTCTAACAGTGAAAGGTCAGATACATTCATGAGTTTATCAGGTCCACACAGCAGCAGCAGCAGGCAGCCTGAGATGTAAACACAGGAAACTGCAGGAAGGGAGAATTTCAAGTTTATCTTACTTCAGTTCTCTGTTCATTTTCTGCTCTGACTCTTCCACAATCCTCATATTTGAAGTTTCACTGGACTTTCTGGCCACAGATATTCTGTGTCTATTTCCCCCATAATAGACTGTGATAAGCTCATTCCTTCCTTCCACTCTTTTTTCCCCCCTTGCTTTCTCATGACCCTCCCTTCCCCTGAGCCCAACACACAAGCCTCAGACAGCATGCACATGGCCTGGGGAATGAACATTAAGTCAAGTATGTTTATTCAGCAGAGGTAGGCTGTGTGACTTCTTTCTCTTTTACACAAGCTATGTTTGACATTCTTCTAAATTCTTCTAACCCATGGAAAGTTTTCACACAAAAACATGCACTGCAGGAGGCCTTTACATACCAAAAACATCTAACCATTTAAACAATCAGAATTATTGAATGTAATGTCCCAAGTTAAAGACCAGCGTCATGACTTGTGTGAGAAACCATCAATCTCTGTGCGTGGACAGGCTTACCCGAAACGGAAGAGCTTATTCATCAACTTCACTTCAAATTAAGGAGTTTGTTGTTGCTGTCATTATTTCAAAGGCTAATTAATATGTCAAGGTTGCTGAATAGTCCACTTTATCAGTTCTTAATGAGGCTTCATGAGGTTTGGCTCTAATTGACGAGGTGAACAAAGGGTCCTGCTCTGACTAATTTGGATTGATAGAGAGAACACAGAAAGTAACTCTCTCTCAACACTGAAATCAAGTTCATTTGTCAAACTAACATCGTGAACATCTGATGTGTTTGTGAACTGCTAATACAGAGGAAAACTAGAGCGTAAATCTAGAAACACAAACTCAACTATAAGTAAGTTGGACTAACAACGGCAAGATTTATGATCTGCATAAGTGAAGGACTTTGTGGTTGAAAACTTGAGCTTATCTCATCTTGATGAATGGGGCTTTCATATTAAATCATTTGTATTCTCAAACAATACTGTAATAAACTAATGCTATGCTAACTCTAAGATCAGCTGCCGTTGGCATTGGCCAAGCATGCTTATTTTAGGGGCAAGTTACTGAGCCATAGTCTGTATAAAACATGGGCGTAGTCTCAGTGACATCACCCATTGGTTTCTGCAGCAGAGTTTTTGAGACCAATGATGGCGGTCGCCATATTGGAAATGTTTTGTCATGTTCACTTCCAATCACCCTAGTTGCAGGCTAAGAGCTGGAGCTGAGGCAGGCCTTGAGCCTCCTGGCTAACAGCAACAACAGGCCTGCCTGTCAATCAGATTAGCCACACGCCTAATTATGCAAAACTCTTTGATATAATCAAAACGGACACTGTCAGTACAAATAAAGACATGAGCCATTCAAACAAACTTGTTTTCTTCTTGGAAAAAAAGAGCATGTTAACGTGGGTGTTAATGTGACAATTGCAGCGAGCCTCAAGTGGACACTGGCAGAACTGCAGTTTATTTCACTTTTGCATTGGCTTCATTTCACAACACTGGAGGTTGCCATTTGAATTGAAAAGGCAAAGACAAAATAAACACAACCCTCAGTTTCTTAACAAGTCAAGTGTCATTCTTCATCCAACTCAACCGCAATGTTTGAGATATACATGCTGGACAATCCTGCTGTGCATTGACATTGATGCTGAGCTATGATTAGAAAGTATTTTGATGGAAGGACTTGTTTTTATGTTATAGACTTAGATTTATACAAAGACTTATATTACTATTGGTACATTGAAATTCTATTAATGTGAGAATAATATTGACCCACTGTGGAAGACAGTACATTTGGGTATAAAGTCCACAGCCAGGAATCTTGCCATAAGTAAGGCCTCCTAAAAATGGGACAAACCTAAAGACTAACTGAAACCTATAACCACACATGCCCTGTTTTAGGTAAACAACTCCAAATACAACCACAAACAAGAGTAATGTAATTCACATTATACATTCAGACATGATTTCAACCATTATTACAAAGCTCTTTCATTGGTTGTGCCTGTTGCTCGTGCTGAAACTTGTAACTCAGCACTGACCAACAGAACGACTCTCAAAACCAACAAACCCAGACTGAAACAGACCAGGTCCAACTTAACTCATGAGTGTTAAAGCATTCCCTTGCCTTACAAAGACCACAGCAGCACACTTGAATGACATCATCACTGAAAATTGCACATTTAGTATGAAAAGCAGAACTCTTTCTTACCTTTTTCCAAAGCAGTGACTCCCATGCATGGCTGACCCAGGCTGGCCTTTTTCTCCCATTTGCCCTCGTCAGGATGATAAATCTCCACAGAAGCCAGCGGAGTCTGCTGCTGATTCATTCCACCGAGCACCATCACCTGGCCCCCCAGCGCCACAGCTGAGGTCCCTGCCCTCGCGGTGGGCAGCGGCGGCAGCTGGCTCCACGTCTGGCTCTCCACATCCAGGACCTCCACACTGTCCAGGGGCATGCCGGTCTCACTGCAGCCCCCCATCACGTAGAGGAGGCCCTCGTGGTAGACTGGAGTGCAGTAGACACGGCGCTGTGACATGGGGGGGAACTGCTCCCAGTACAGGGACTTTACAGGACTCACCGCCATTTCCTGCACAGGCATGTCTCCAGTACCGAGAGGAGGGGACGCACCATCACACACAGCGGCCAGGGAAGGAGGAGAGGAAGTGGGAGAGAGTTGGATGAGGGGGCACACAAAGCTGGAACAGCACTGAGCCAGAGCAGGAGAAACAAGCAGAAGCACAAGCTTGTTTCTGTCTGTGTGAGTGACCACCTGAAGCCCCTGAATCCACAAGGGGAAAGAAACAAGAAGAAAAAAAATTAAAGGAAGGGGTGAAGAGAAAAGGGGTGAAAGGGATTGTAAGAATTGACAGAAAAGGTAAAAAAACAAAAAAACAAAGGGAGAGGGAAAGAGAAAATCCAGCTCACACCTTGTGCCAGATGTCACGACTCCCTCTCTATTCTGATGTTTTATTCATCCTGTTGTTGGTGTTTGTGCGGTAAAGCCATCTGCTTTTCATCCTCCTCTATTCCTCTCTCTCTCTTGCCCTCTTCTTGCGTTCACTGCATCCTCCTGGGACGCTTATTTGTTAAAGTTGACTATATTCCCAGTGAAAAAAAATGCTGATGCTTGAAGACTATGTCCAAGGGTTTAATACTTAATCCTGAAAAAACTTCAACCAAGTCCAGAGTGGAGGAGTTAAAAAGGAGAAGAAAAAAAAACGATTGGAGAGATGGCACTGTCTTCAGCAGTGCCCTGATAATCCAAGAGAAAGCCTTTGTGGCAATGAATTTTATATCTTTGAAACAAAAGACAATTATTCAAGGCGACCAGTCGCAGGCGGCTGCAGCAGCACAGTTCTATTTGAACCCTTCTATTTGAAGGTGATGGATCCTACCGGGGGGAAAAAATCCCCTAAAAAATGAAGCAAAGTCTTTAAATTGAACTCTATGGGAGTATCAGGACTCCAAGGCTTCCCTTTATTACAATAAAGATTTTATTCCCTCAGTTTGAAAATAATTCATCTGAGGCTCCTTCCATTACTCGCTGTCAGGCACAGGGACTTCTGTAGAGGGTGAGTGTCGTCTTGCTGGTCTGAACCTGGAAGAAAACACAAGAGAGAGTGACAATTAGCTACAATGAAGACAATCATGTTTCATCTCCTTAATTCTAGACTATAAATTATATTCATGCTCTACGAGTAGTGACTGTGCTAATCAGTTAGTAAGTGTTAGGAGCACAAAAAGCCATGAGGCGGCATTAGTATGGATGCATTAATTCATGTGCTGGTATAGCCATTTTCACATTGCCACTTTTGGAAATTTCTAGAGAATTTCAGAAGGACTGCCCTTGAAATCCTCCTGATCTGGTTGTTCAGACACACACCTCACAGTGGGAGACGGGAGGGGGGCTGGACGTAAAAAGAGGAACTCAGAAGAAGTGGAGGAAGCATCAAGTCCACTATTTAAAACTCTATAATGAAAATACTTGACTATATGTCAATGCTAGGTGTAGTTCCACAGAATCACAATCTCAACTAAAGAGCGGTGAAGAACATTCTTGTGAACGGAAAATTAAATACAGCCGTTTAAAGACATGCACGGAGACCATAGCGGTCCTGTTCATACATCTACTGTAGGTTGTGCATCGATCACAGGGAATGCATGTCACCAGGGGGGAATTCTTCTGATAAAATCTTGCTGCGTTCTCACATCAGCTCACTGATGACTGCTGACGTTCTGCGGAAAGAATACTAGGGGGCTGGCAGGAGAAACTGGGATAAAGTCAAGGGAAAAATGTGGCTGTTTGCATTACTCGTGCAGATCAAGAGTTTTTCAGGGGTTATGTGCAAGTGTGAAAGCACAATATGAAAACAAATAGGGGAGTCCAGTTTGATCCACAGATCCAAGAATTGAACTATTTCTATAGATGACAAAATACCCAGAATTAGGTTTAAATTGCAGAGACAAAATTGTGCATCTAATGACAATAACTGTCTTTTAGAGTGACAGTGAACAGTAAACAGCATAAATAGTGTTCATATCATGAGGTAACTATGAAAAGGGCTGGTGTGATGGCCACAGCCACACAAAGGTAATATCATTCTCTCCTCATTAGTTTCCCACCAACACCTGGTTATTTTGTAGTGAACCTCCCAAACAATTTACACACTGAGTTTGATTGGGTATGAGTTCATTTTTGTTTTTGTTTTTTTATAGTGTGGGCAGGACTATAACACTGCAAGATCAAACACTAAACTCTGATCATTATTTCTTTCTTTTAAGTTACATTTTTTAAACCTTTTATTTTAAGCCCTGCACAAAGCAGAGCGGAGGTTGAACTCTTATTGTTTCCTGTCCACATAAATCTTAAGTAAAAGGCAAATGCTTTATAAGAACTGAAGAGAAACACAAAGTCTACTTTCTTTTGAGTTACCTGGCTGTTGGGGGCATGAACTTCCTGGTTTTTGCAAAGACGAGGCCATGGACTGAGAACTGCTGCAGCCAGCTCTTTGAAGCAGACGAAGTGCTCCATTGTCATGGGTGGGAGGATTTGGGTTGAGATCATTTTTGCTTGGTTACCTTGATTTGGCCACACCACTATAAATTCTATTTTTGTCTTGTTTTATGTCTTAGAAAAACACCCAACAGGGCATTGTTGTCATAGCAATGAACAAGAAACTGTAGAACATGCAGACAGTGGAGCAAGTACAGTGTAACACAAGAAGCATTTCAAAGATGACAAAAAGTGTGAAAGGTAGAAGGTGGGTTGCTGCTTTTTTTTAAAGGTGACTGGACTGTGTACCCGATCTGTGAGTTCAAAATGAGGGAATAGTGAAACCTGAAGGTGGCAGTAATGCAACATAATGGATGCAAACTGCTGTAAAACTCCAGAGAGTAGGAAAAAGAAGATAGGTCTGTTTGCACCTTATTGTTCATCTTATTTACTTAAGAGTTACATCATGTTGACCTCTTCTATTGGCCTAGTTCTTATAATTTGGTTTGTAAATTTGGTTTTCTTTGGTTGAGTAAAAGACAATATTTTCTTTAATAACAGCTGGTTATACACACATCCCTCTGTGTTCACATGCCATGTTGGGATCTCTTTCATGCAAAATAACTAAAATAATCAAACTGTCACACTGATGGCTTTGCTGCTAACTAAAATTGGATCATACGATGAGCCATGAGAATACGGTTCATCATAGCATAACATGAGCCACACAGAAAATGAACTGCGTGGTTTTTTCTCAGTTTCACGTTGAAACCAATTTGCTTTTTGCTTGGTATAAAAAACTCTACCATGAATGTGCTTTCAGAGAGATGTGAGTCAGTTTGGTCACAAAGTTAATGTGTCGCTAACAGTTTCTTTTGCAGTTAAACTGTATTTGCAGGGACATCAGGAGCAATTCTGACAGCAAAAATCTTGAGTACTTTCTTTACCATTGTCAAGCTGCTGGGCTAAACTATGAGCATGTTCTGCAGGAGACAATCCAACACGATCTCTCTTTCTATCAGCAGCTGATTGTTGCCCCCGACAACAAGCAAAAAATAATCCTGTACAACATGCAGGCAGGTGGTTTACTGTCTCTGAGTAATTTAAGGAATGAGCTCCTTCCATGTAATTGGGAATCAGTAGTGTCAAAATGAGGCCTACATTCATTCTGTAGAGTTTTAAAATTACAAATATAATCTCTCCTGATTGTCTATCACACATTTCTTTTGCAATTTCCCTACATGGATAAATCAAGGCTCAGTGAGAAGCAGACAAGTAATCCTGTCAGGTTTCAACATGATAGCATCACATTCACATTACAATGCACGTCATAATCAGAATCACATTCATACTGCTAGGGAGAAATGACAAGACTTGCTCTGGTTCAGTGTGTGTGTATGTGAGAGTGTGTGAATGTGTGCATGTGTGTGTGTCTGATGGAGACCCAGCAGGCAGCGAGCACACTGTGGCCTGTTGATTGACAGGGAAACCAATGGCATTTAGCAGGTGTGAGGAGAGAAAGAAAGTAACACAATACAAATCTTTCCCTCAGCCTCTCTCTTCAGATCACGCTATATAGATACGTATTATATAAACATGGATATTGTGTCGTCTTCCTAGTCCTGCTCACTGGCCAGAGCCCTGTGGATACGCTGACCTTTTACTAGTGAGACGCAGAGAGAGATGAGGACAATAGCATATTGGTTGGTTTAATAATACAAATATATATATTGCATGTTTGTGGATGTATTTTAATTTGTATGTATTTGCATGAAATAGACACTGGAAAATCTTTGTGTTTGTTTCTATGAGGATGACTCTACAGGAGGGAGAAGGAAGAATTTAAGAAAATCAAAGAAGTTCACTACTTGAAGAGGGATTAGGTTGACCAGGTGACCCTATGTGTGCAGGACATCACAGCATTTTCATCCCTTGTCCCGCACTCCACAAATTGAGAAGATGTCCCAAATTTGATTGTCTCCAGTTTTCCATAGTGCAGGACAGTCATCTTTCTTAAACCTGGCTTTTTATCCAATGGCTGTGTAGAAGACAAGAAGGCTAATACCATGGTCTGTTTCAGATGCCAATCAATCATCCCAAACATTGGGTCAATGGCTAAACAACCTTTCAACATCCTTGTTGCCTAGGTTAAACTCCACTGCCACAAAACAAAGACAAAAGCTATAGGGATGCAGTTTTAGCAGAAACTACAACAAAAAAAAGAAGATGCAGCTGCGACGAAGCCTGGGAAAGTATTTAATGTTAGAAGAAGCCAGTGGAGGGTGGTATACAGTAATAGTAATATAATACACTGAAATCCCTAACCAAACAGTTGAATTTTGGGAAATGTATGAACTTACAGATTTTAAGAAGATAGTTTTTTTGCACAAAATTCTTCTCAACATTTCTCTAAAGTTGTATTTATACTCAGGTGGCCCATTAAATGACTAAAAATTATCTTGCATGAGATACTATGTGTTGAAATCTTTTTTTAAAGTTCAGCTTTAAAGATGAGACTGCGCTCCCTTGGGTCCTGAGTAATACATCCTCCAAGTGTGAAGTTGATCTGATGAACAATTCTTAAGATTATAGTACGATAGTCAAACAAACACACATACATACTGACAGGCAGAGAGTTCTGTCAGTGGTTTCAACTGGTGGGTCGGGACCCTAAAGACCCCGATTTCAGTAGGTCACGAATGTGTGCCTGGAAAAAAAATGCTGTCAAAAAGTCTATGAAGCGCTTTTGTAAACTTAAACAAGTTTGTTTCATTCAGTTTCTTTGTTCTATCCAAACTTTAAATTTTTTCTTTAAATAAATCTG